AGGAGCTGTCTCCTCACTGGCAGAGCAACCAAATAATGGAGCTTGTCACTGGCCTTGTTCTTTGTGTTTTTCAAGACCCAAGAAAAATGCGAACACTCTATTGTAGTCATTAGTTTTCCCATCCTTTCTGCCTGGGCCTGTGGGTGGGGGCTTTGACCCGGTTCAAAAGCGACACAGCAAGGAATTCGGCTTTTTAGAGAAAGTGAATTCTTGGTGTCACATGCCTAGTGTGTGTGCATTATACATCATGAATATGCTTGGTCTTGTATGTTACTATTAATATGCTGTCGAGTACGGGTTTCTGTTTTAAATATAAAAACCTGTCTTTGCTTATCAATCACTTGTCTGGCTAACAAGTCCAACAAAGCTTGTTTCAGATTGAAATGGATTTTAATGTTTTGTTTGGTAATTTGTTCAGGAGATGTCAGTAGTGTCTTTTTGACACAACAATTTATTTAAAATGTAACGAAGTAAAGTATTTATAAACTAAAAATTTTTTTTAAAAATCATATTTTTTAGTCTACTTATCATTTTCCCTAACTGGTGTAATGCCTATAGCTGCAAAGTGAAAGAAGATATTTTAATTTAGGATTTGATCTGGACTTTAACTGAACTTTGAATATGCATTTAAACAATTTTAATGTTGATCTGGCTGAATGTTTCGAGTTACTGTCTTGGATGGTCCTCTATTTTTGGATTCATTCATATTCCTACCTGGTTCCCATAGCTGCCAGCACCACTTTTTATTGTGGAGACGGTGTGTTTGGTGTGATGTGCAGCAATATGTTCTGCCATGCATAGAGTTTTGCACATAAACCAAAAGTTCCACTTTAATCTTTTCTGACCAGAGCACTTTGTTCCACGGGTTTGCTGTGCTTCTACATGGCCCATGGCAAACTGCAAACAGGAACTCTTAAGGCTTTCTTTCTTGAAAGACTTACTTCTTGTTGCTTTTCCACAAAGGTTCCCTATGTGAATTGTGCAACGAATAGTTTCCTGTCTACAGATTTTCCCACTTTAATTGGATCTCTTTGCTACTTCTCTGGTTAATGTTGTTCTTGTAGGTTAGCAGTTATGTCATTCTCTATGTGAAAAAATGGTTGAGTATTTTTACTACTTGTCCCTTATTTTTGTTTCTGATTAATTTACTCGTTCTGCAGCTGGTCATGATGTTTAAATTTAAACATCACTTTCCAACTTTGCTTCACTCACTATCCCGGGTTTGTTTGAGGTAGCATTACGTTACAGTTTCCATCTATGCTTTGGCTAAAGCTAACACTTCTGGGCTATTGGATTAATTTGTTTCTTCTATTTCAAGTCACATTTATGGTAATTTACTTGTTTTCCTTTGTAGATTTTGCAGCAAGGCAGGTGTATGGGAGGGGCTGGCCCAGTATTTTCTGCTTAAATGACTAGATGATATCGTCAATTACATCGCTGGGTTCAATTACAGGGTTTTATTTTGTGCATTGTATTGTTTGTTTGTTTGTTTGTTTTTTCTTTAAAGTAACTTTTTGAGTTGCCCTGTATTACATGGTTTATTTTGCTGACCATTTAATTATGTAGATGAGTTTGTAAGTTAGTCTAAGGATCTTATTCTTGTTTCTGTTTAGATTTTGTTGTTTGGTTTGACCTCTTTCATTGTGGTTTAGTCCACTCAAGTGCAGGTTTTTTGCCAATTGACTATAAGAACAGTGAGTTCTTGGAGGCTCAGGATGGATGTCAGAGCCAAAGAAATGTAATAAAATTAATCCGAAGAATCTGGAATCCCATGGCTGATGCTGGTTTTTGTTCATCTTTTTGACCCTTTGACCACACTACATCATTTTTTAAAAAAATGGATCAAATAATAGTTCAGTTATGGAATATGTTCAGTTCAAAGTTAGGTATTTAGTTTTACACCCTGACCCTGTTTTCTATCAACTTTCTTACATTATCTGTAACCTGCCTGGCATGTCGTTTGGTTTTCATGATGCTGTTTGTTCAATAATCCTCTACTAAATTTGTTAGACCTTTGTGGAACAACTGAGTTTGAACAGATTTTCAATTAAAATACAATTTATTACAATAAATTTCTTATTTATTACAATACATGCATGGTGGAGAAGTGGTTAGCTTTGTCTTGCTTCTTATCCCTCAAACCTTTACTGGGTGAGATCAGAAATCTGTGACTTGCATTAAAGAATGAAGGACTATTGACTTGCAATCATCCTGCCTTCCAGTAAGAAGGTCTTGAGTTTGAATCCCACCCTGGACTTTCTCTGCATGCAGAGTGTGTGCATGCTTGGTTGTTTGTCCTTTGTGTCTCTATATTTACCTGTGATGGAGTTGTGACCAATCCAGGGTTTATGGCCTCATGCCCAATCAGTGCTTGAGATGGGCTCCAGCCTCTCAGTGACCCTGCAAGAATAAGTGGGTATTAACAGTAGTTGGATGGATGAACTGTACATTCTGTATATGACAAAAAGCAAACAGTACACAATAAGCAGTAGTCTACTTGTTTTTCAAGCTAATGAAATAGACCAAGAACAACTACTTAAAATACATTTTACAGGTGTTTTTGGATTTTATTTTCTTGTTGCTGTCATTACTTGTCTTCTGTTGTCCTTTCAATGTTTGGTGTAAATCAGAAGATTTGAAAAGGCTGAACAGGTCTGCCAGTGCTGTTATGATATTGTGTGAATGCTTGTAGACACAAACCCATTGGGCCTGATTGAAAGCTCATCAATAGGCAGGGATAGACAAAAAAAGAGGCTGCCCATGCCTTCTGCTTTTGTACTCATTCTAATTTCAGCTGTTATCTGGAATGTACCAGCTGTCCACTGTACACAAAAACTGCTTCCTTTCCCAAACCTGATCCTGGCATTTGCACCAAGTGAAGAGGAGCTGTGGTAGTGCAGGCCTCAAACCCTTAGGGGACAACTGGAAGCTCCTGGGAGGGACATGATGGACAGGAATGGAAGAGTAAAGCAACAGGCAGGCACTCACACAGGGGCCTGCATGCATCTGAAAGGGAGCTGAAAGTGTGTGTACGTATGTGTGTATGCGAGTGCCTGCAGGCGCCTCCATGCATCGGCCTGTAAATGTGTGTCAGACTTCTAAATAGGGCTTCCAGACTTTCAAAGAAATGCTTTTAAAGAAGCACGTGTAAATATAGCCTTGAAAAAACAGTGTCATATTTACTCACAAGTACACACATCCGGGATGTTCAACAATCAGACGCAAACATCAATGAAAGAAACCTTATAGCCTGAGCTTGATAAATAGTGGCAGACTCTTTAAAGTAAAGCTTATCTAAGGATTTTCAGAACGCTTCCATTTATCAAACATGTTACTTATTGAACAGCACAGTCTTTAACACAGAATGTGAACTCATATCTAAGTTTAGTTGGTGTCTATATGTCTGCGGTTATACTTTTCTTACTTTGCCACACTGTAGTTCCCAACTTTTTCAAATGTATCAAATGAAATGCATACAGTGCTTCAAAAAAAGTATTCCCCCTTTGTAGATTTTGACACATTTGGTGGTGTCACATTAAAAGATTTCAATTCTTCAAAAAATAATAATAAAAGACAAAGATAACCTGGATGAATACATAAGAAATTAAATAAAATCTAATGATTTAATTTAAAAATATAATTAAATTTTTTCCAAAGTGATGTAGTTATAGTGTTGCCAGGGTTGCACATTCATTTACTTGGTTATGGGCCAACTTTCCTCGTAGCAGCAGTCATGCTTACTCGACAGCAGAAAATCGCTTCTGTTGTGTCACTAACTTTACAGCTGTCCCTCAGGCCGAGCATGCACAAAGCGACAGTGGAGCAGAAACACGTTCTTTTTAACAGAAGAAATGTCCAGCAGAACTGGGCTCAGTACAAGCAGCCATCTGACAAAAACACAAAATGGAGAAATTTTATATTTTGGATATTTTCTCTCTTTTTTTTTCTTTACAAAACTATTTGTTTTGTTGTGTGCTGTTATTTCAGACATTATGGCATATGACCTTCCATAGCACTCCTTCTTGCTTTTAGCTGTTGAATCTCTGGTTACAGGCCCTGGTCTCACCCATTTTACTAAATGACTTAAGCACACTAATGAATTACCCTGTTAATCAGAATGGGTCCCTCATTTAAGAAAACTGTCCCTCTGACCTCTGTTTCTCCAGGGCTGTTTCATGCAGGTTTATTGCGTATAACAGCAAGTAAATATTACTTCAAGACCTTATTAATTCCTCACATAACCATCTATAAGTAATTAGTCTCACTTACTGCAAGAGTCACAAGTTGTCAATACATGTGCACCGCAAGAATGTGTATATGTGTGCATGTCTGCAGAAACCAGACCTTTCTAATCTATTTAAACCAATGCAGTCACTTCCTCTCACCATCAACCTTATCTGTAGCTTCTGGGGACAAAAATCATTTGAGGTAGGGTAAAATAACAGAAAATAATGGGGAAATATCAAGCGGATCTTTTTTGCTACCCCATTTATTCTGTCTGGTCCAACTGAGCTTTATCATCCCTAACACATCACAACATACCTCCTCTATTTTTATTTTACTTAGATTTTATTTTGCCCACTCAAACTTTTCATTTCCTGACAGATTGAGGCACCCTATTTAGCAGTTTTATTCATCTTTGCCTGCAGGCAGGGACTGACGTTACAGTCAATAAAAATGGGAGCGCGTCGCAGGCACCTCTTCTTCCCCTTCCCTTTGTGTGCAAAGTGGCAGCCGTGAATTTAATCGAGGGAGAATGTTGTGATTACTTAATGGTTTCCCAGGCAGCCATGGACTGGAGAATTAAATTCCGCATCTGCTTTCCAAGGCGTTAATCTCTTCTCCTCACATTCCGCCTGTTATGATGTGCACACAAGAGATAATGTTTAAACCGACTAAAGCAGGGTAAACCAGCGCAGGCTGTTATTGGCTTTATAATTACATAATTAACTTTTTGTTTCTAATCGTTACAGAGGTAATGGCTCCGCTAAAATGGGAGGCATCTGCCAGGCAGAAAAACCAAATCAAAAATCAATAATCCATAGAATGCCATTACAGTAAGTGCTTGGGCTGGAATCACAGAAGAAAGACAGAAAGAAGCTGGAGAAAAAGAGAGCAGGTTTGCCTCATCACTTCTGTCTTTTCTATCCATTTCCTTCTTTTCCAGAGCAGTAAATGAATCTCATTTGAAGACAAGAGTGTTATCTGTGGGAAAGAAAGCCCAGCAGCTGTGTGGAGCAGCAGGGTATCAGGCCCTGCCAGGTGGATGGCAGAAGAGAGAGAGGGCCAAGAGGCACCGTAAATTACACCTGGCCTCCCAGCACTGCTATTGTAGGGCAATTGACCCGCTCCAAATGAATTCCATTTTCTGCAGGTCCCTCCTTATTTCTAATTTACATTGTGATCATATATGTCTGAAAAATGATATCATAAAAAAGATGAATGTACTAATTACCTCTCTTCTTATCTCTCCCTCACCTGGCGCACACCCCTTTTGGACTTACTCCTCGCGGCATGTAAGTATGTCACTTATTTCATTGTGACAGGCGTAATGTATTCACAAAAGTGCACCATAAATACAGACGTTCAGGTTGGCCACCTTGCACTCACGTCGAGGGGCCTCACAATGCCATGGCTGTTCAAATGAATGGCGAATTGACAAACATTTCTGGAGCCAAATTACCTATGGTGTCACTGTGAAATTAGGTTCTTGACCCAGCCTCTGATGCATGCTTATATTTCTACATATTTTCCCCATCGATTTTCATGCATGGCATCCAGCCATTGTGGTGTGAGACGAGGTTCCCTATGAGAAAGGGGTTAGGGATATTTTAATACACCTGTGAAATGAGACTCTGCTCGTCATGAATATGCTAAAGTAGAGCTGTCACAGCAGTCAGAGTGATATCCCCTCACCTCTGCCAGACGAGTTGGGGGGGTATAACAGATCCCCGTATTCAGGAATAGAGGGACCAAGCTTATGCTGCCTGCCAGTGTCATTTTAACAAATAGGCTTATTAACAGTTCAGAGGCCAAGGACAACAGCAAGGTTAAGCAACTCTTCTGACACAAATGGGAGAGTATGAGAGAAATATGGAGTTGGCTGATAGGAGCTGATTGTCTGTGCTCCAGTTTTATGACTACACAGCCTTGGCTGAATGTCTTCCATGTCCAGTGAAAGAGACGACTTCCTTAAGTAATTATGTCTCCTCAACCTGGGATGAACTTGTACTTCTGTCTGTCAACATCTGTTTGCTTAAGTTTTCACTCTAGACAAAAAAACTCCACCATAGTGTGTTTCTCTGCCTTTTTTCTTTTCTTTTCTTTACCCTCTGCATCTGTTAGACTCTTCAGCCACATATGCTCCATCACTTGACTTTGTATTCCATGACACCATGCTTTGGCACTTGACCTCCTGACCTCAGTCTCAGACAGCTATAACCACCCCTCAAAATCCAGAATGACCAGCAGTACAATGGAAATTTGCTGAGGTCACTATCGCTAAACTAGACTGGGAACAATCATTCCAAGAACTTATGTTATTTCTTAAATTGTCAATAACAATCAGTTTTAGAGAATAAATCAATTGCACAATACTTTCAGAACAGTCAGAATTAACTTACCGTAATTTTGTAGATTCAATTTACTCTGTCAAATGAGCTTTGTCAGATGATTGTGGTTATCATGTAAAGTAAGAATGCATTATGTTTAACCAATAAACATTTTAACTAGACTTCTTTTCTCCTAAGACACATTTAAAGAGGAGTAAAGTCTCAAGTGACAAACAAGGCTCACCCAAGAAACACCTCATTTTGTGTCTTGCCATTACCCTTTGGTGTCACATTTGACATTTGTTTTAAGTTTAGCCTTTTCAGGCACAAAGCACTTTCTTGAGCTATAAATGTCTGTGTGAAATGCTTTGCTTAACCTGCTGACACAAGGGAACTACTTAAGCCGTTTTCTCCTTCACCGTCTGTTAGCGCAATGATTCACTTTCCATTTCAAATCAATATTGGGGCATGCAAAAGGTACAAAGAACTTTGTTGCCATAAACCATTAATTAAGGAGAAAAAATCTTAATTCAGACAGTGTGAAAGTTGACTTTCTTCTCAGCACTGTAAATCAAGAGCTGGGAAATTAGTATTACTTATTTTCCTTTCTAGAAGCAAATATGAAAAGACTGGGAATCCCTAATACTTAAAATATTACATCATATAAATATGACAAGACATGTGGAGTGTTAAAAATTATAAAATTGTATATACCCGTATCATCTTATCATCACTTAGCTATAACCTCTGTTTCATTTATTCTCAGTATAAATACAGCTGTTTTTCAAAGCCTCAGAGGTTTGTCAAATAACATTTGTCAAGATACAGAATCATAAAGACCAATGATCTGTTGACAGGACAGATTACCCAAGGCCTCCAGAGATGTGATTCAAAAGTCTGATAAGAAAGCCACAAGAAGCATAGTTTGCAACAAGTCATGTTGAGGACTCTTTGAACATGTGAGCTGGAACATGCAATTGAAACACTGTCCCAACATGAAATCCAGAATTGGCAGCATCATGCGACAAGGATGAGGTAAATGCAATGCAATCCTGTAAGAAAACTTTTATAAAGGTAACAAAATACTTCAGCTGGGTCAAAGGCTTACTGTCCAGAAGGATAACAATGCTCAACATATGGTCTCTGACACAAGAGAATGATTAAGAATAAGGCATATTCATGCACTAGATTATCCTAGTGAGAGTGAAGTTCAAGTGTAAATTAACTTGAAAGGACCTGTACAGGTATGTTTGCAGTCAAGCTGAGGTTTCAAATACTAAGACAACTTTCAAAGAGAACTGTGTAGAATTTCTGAAAATAGAACATCCCAGCCTTTCAGTAAGTGAAACATAAAAAAATGTCATCATAGAAATAGGAATTCCAGGTGCAATGGTCTGAAGCATCTTCAAAGAACCCATAATCTAAAATGTGCGCATGAGCGTCATGAGTGCAGCATGACCCAAGAATCTTATAGAGCAATCTTATGCTTAATGTTCAGCCAGTAACTTACTGCAAGTGATTCACCCTAAGAGAATTAAAAAAGAAATAGGTTATATTGCTGAAAAAGTTTTGAGAACCTGTTGATGGATGATCAGAGGATTTTTAGAAAAACTAACAAGGGGGACTGGAGTGTATGTCTAGTACATCCCAAATCCTCAATTCGGGGTGGAAGTCCTGAGGGTTTGAGGCCACCTGGTCAAAGAGGGGAGTGGCAGTGATAAACGCACCTTGTTTAGGGTCTCGTCATCTGAATGAGACATACAAGGGCTCAAGATGATTGATGAGGGCTGGAGCGTGGGCTGATAAGACATGGCCCATGAATCTGTTCTACATCATCGGCTCCTTTGATCACTGACAGAAGTTCAGAGATGGGCCTGTGCATCTGTCCAAACAAACAAAAGCCTCTTCCCTCTCAAATGCCTCACTTGCTCTGCAACAATGCAACCAGTCCCCACCTTCATTACCCTGCCGCTCAGGTTGACTTTCACTCATACAGAAATGGTAGAGACAAAAGCAAATTGACAGAAAGGCCATGAATCTGAGGGCAAAGCTGACTGTTAAAGCAGGACAGAGAGCGGGAAATGAATTGGGAAAGACATGGAGAGAGAAAGAGAGAGAGCAAAGAATACATGAGGGGCGGCTTGGAGCCTGTGAACCATGGCAGCATGGGTTAAAGCCCCCCAAAAGGAACACTCCTCTGCAATGACAGATTCGGCTGATAAGGGATGATCCATGAAAGCCGATCGGTGTGCTGACAGCAGGAGAGAGGCCTTGGCCCCAGTCGCCAGGGTGCATTACTGTGGGCAAATGCAGCTGTCAGGGCCAAGCGGGCCATCAGCTTTCTACCATGCCACCATGTTGACGTCACACAGACTGGACCCTGTCTATACTGTTTTTTCGATCCCTTTTGGTCATAGAACTCTGCATTCCATCACTGAAACATTCCCAGGCCACAACTTCATTTTGGGGTGTAGTGTATCAGCTGACAGGTGCTGAAATTAACCTATGCCAGCAATTCTGACATACTGACAATGTGCAAAAGAATGCTGGAGTGCACTGAGTGAAGGATTCTGACAGGTAAAGCATTACAGATTAGACTTGGATTTATTCCAGAGAATCACATTGAGCTGCACTTACGAGGCCTCTTTTACTCGTCGAACACTGTAAGACTAAGGAGCTTTAGCACTAGTCTCAAGATAGACAGACAGAAATATGGACAGCATGGAGAATGAGATCCACAGTGTAAAACAGCAGACTTTCATGTACTTTCCCTGCTGAACATGCAGCCGCATGGCACTTACTCTGCCAGCCCCCAAAGAAAATTACCCCATTTACCAAGGGGGCTGAGTAAAAAGACTGCAGCCGATTCCCTCAAGGAAATGAAAGGCAGTAATAAGCTATTTAATTTTTACTTGAAATTATTTAAGGCTCAATGGATATACTCTGAGTCCTTATTGCTATTAAAATGATTATTCTCACCAAATTATTTTAATCCACTTTCAGAAGAGAAAAAAATATTCTACATCCTCATTTAAAGAGCTAAATTGGAGCATCTATTCACTTCATGTGGTCTACATATCAAATTAGAGAGTTAAAAGCCTCTCTTTTATTTTGGCATTCATTTCAAATGATTAGCCCAGTAATGGAGATCCCCACAAACGAATGCAGAATTATTTTACATATAAATTCTGATTTAAATACACTGCCTTGTGACTCATTGGCTTTGCTCTAAGTAGCTTGTTTAAGGCAGAGCTCTTTTCTAAAGAGCATTAGAAACAATCTTGAAGTAAACAGAATTAATATGATATAGAGGATTGTGGGTTTTTATACCCATAGTCCAAATTACATTAAATTGATGTGTGCAAAGTTAACATGCATGACACTGCTAGGGTTTTTTTTTAACTGAATATGAATATCAAAACATGACAAGGACAAAAAGACATTTGTTAAAAACATCAAATAGCTACAGTCAGTCAAAAAGAGCAGTCAGTTTTGCAGAATTCCCCTCATGGCCGTTGCATCTGTATAATAGAAGAGGATATGTAGCTCATCGCTTTGGTCTTTTTCCCTTTTTGATCGTGTATCTCCTACTTCACCTCTGCCCATGTCTAAATCCCGTTTCTCTCTGCCTCTTGCTCCCTTCATTCTGTAGCTCACCTTTCTCCTTGCATTAAAAGCTGAGGAGAATACCTGAAAAGGTTGGTGACCTTTTAATGAAAATGTCAGTATTCCTGTAGTGAAAAAAGAGGCAAAAGCCCAGAACGTAGGCAAGGTTTCGGTGACACCTGAGCTTTCACAAACCCAACTACATCCTTATTGAGACATTAAATGTCGGTTTCTTGTCTCTATAAAAGTCTTTGTTTTTTTATGAAATCAGGGTGAGATCTTCCTGAAGCACTTGTTTCTCTTTTAAGATCTGTAGCCAATCAAAAATACTTTCTTTAACCAATTCTTTTCAAAATGACTGTTGTATTAATGACTAAATCTCATCAACTGAAATCAAAGAAATTCTTAGAGGGCACTTTGAAAAATACATCTTACAGTGATTCCAAATATCCTTCAAATACTTTACGTTAAAAGTCAAGAGATGTGGGAGAGAAAAGGATTAATGATTCCTCTGTGATTTCCAGAGCTCTGGTTCAACCACAACTGGGCTTGACAGATGTACACCTGAGAAAAAGTCACTGGGGCTAATGTGACTTTGATGTCTTTCTCTACAGCTTTTCTTTTCCTACATCTATGCACGTGATTCTGAGTCCACCTTGAGGAATTGAAATACAGATCTTGCAGAGTGGCTCAGTACCAGATGCCAACCAGAGCAGTCATGATCATTTGCTGACTGTATCTCAGCCTTTTGTCACGTTTTGTCTTCTGTCTCTATTTTTAGCATGGCGAAAAGACGTCAAGGCGAAGGTGTGTTTTAAGTAAGTGACAGCCTGACGCCCAGCTTTATTTGATGCTTGCCAGATCAAAGCCTCACTGCAGGGCACGCTAATTTGAAGTCCACCGCAGTGATGATCGCTGTGCATGATTACCCCACAATGGCACTCCTATTAATCACATCACTCTGATTATTCTAATTTGATTTGACTCAGCGATGCCTCTTCTCAATTTTTTCCTCCGTCTCTTTTTCTCATCCTCCCTCTCATCATCGTCATCACAACGTCTCCCAATAAAACTGTCAAGCGGGGCAACTGCTCTCCACAGTAAGTGGATGACATTTAAAAGGCTACAACATGACTGACAGTGTACTCACAGAGGGAGGGAGTGAGAGTGCAGAAGGCGGAAGAAGACGAGGAGAGCTGGAGACAGGGAAGATGAGGAAAAGAGGGGATGCCCAAGTTAATACTTACAAATGACTAATGTCTCCCTCAGCAGGTGCCAGGGCCAGACAAACTGGATAAATATTGAGATCCGTCTGAGTGCAGCAGCACATGAAATGAAACCCAACTGCTTCTCATACAGCTCTAAAAGTGACATGGCTCTGCTGGGTACCTCAGCTCTGTCTATCTAGATAACTCTGCATGATTAATTGCTCTGAAAGTTTAGGAAATACCCAGACATTCAAATACACACAGCTCTGTCCACTGTGTGCTCATTGTTTGAATGTACAATGTCTGTGCTGCCAGTATTTTTGAACATGTACTGTAGCATACAATTAATTAAAAAAAATGCACTATTTAAGAAATCATAATGCATTTCTGCAGGAATAAATGTTTTTCTTAATGCAGTCAGTTACAAATAGTCATGATTTTTATCTTTGTGTTGTTTTTTTCTTGGACGTTAAATATTGCCTTAGTATTCAACTCATGCCATATGAAACTGCTTTATTTTCAACCTGTCTGCTGGTTAAATCAAGCAAATCAGTATTAGTGTCTTTCTCCTGGACAAGTTGCCAATCCACCTCAGGTATGTCATTTGTATACAGCTCTCTGAGACAATATTTAGAACCAACAGGTCTTTGTGTCATCTTTGCATATTCAACAGCTACTTTTTTCTTTTCAAAGCTATAATCACAAAGAAAGAAGAGCTATAAAACGCATAAAAGTTCAACGTAGGTATTGAAATTAAGTTCAAATATATTTCACAATTACTCTTTTCCTGTTAATTTGGATTTCTTATCTATGTGCTAATTCTGCTTCAGCTCTACATGCTCCACCCTGACTGTTAGTCCAGTCAGTGAGAGATATTTTTTTTCTCTCTTTCTTTTTACGTCAAACAAGCTATGTCCCAGGGAGAGGCTGAGACAACACCAAAGCACATCCTCTTTCCACACAATAGAGATCTCCAACTATGCTATGCCCACACAGCAGGCATCCACCACTCTGCAGAGGGCAGGAAGCTGCTCCAGCTGACCCACTGCCTCCTCAAACATACAGTCAGAGGAAATTCCCTTAAACAGCAGGAGTCTGAAAACTAAAAAAAAAATCTTCCTCCTAATGTTGCTGACACAAACTGCTTCAGAGACTCAAATTATTCATTCAGAAATTATTTCACCTTTCTTTACAGGTGCATGTAAAGAAAGGTACCAAACGGTTCCATAGGTGACATAAACAGTTTGTTTTCTAAAAATATCAGCATCTACTTTACAGTTAAACAAAACAATAAATCCAATGTCATTTCATAAACCCTAATATCTAAAGCAATGTTCAAATGTTGTCTATGTCTGCTACATTTCCTCATTTGCTATTGTGAAACAATTGTGTAAGCAGAAGAAACATCGAGTATCTAGACTGGAAATTGATAAAAAAAAAAAAAAAAGACAAAGCCTTAGTAAAACACACACTCTCCATTGTGTTGGTTTAGGAATGAAAAACCCTCCTTTAAATGTTCCATGTCTCTCAATGTCACTGCAAGTTCAACAAGATTAGATACGGGATAGCTTCTGTTGCCTTTTCCTTGCTGAAGGAGATTGTGAATGAAAACAGCAAGGCTGTAAAAGTTGTTTTCTAATCTTTAATATGACATGCTTTCTACACAGTATATAGTGTGAAAAGAAAAACACAAAGAAAAACAAACATGCAGACACATTCACACATCCGAGGCTCCTGATATCTTTAATAGACTCAAAGGGCTGTGCAATTCACACCTTTCGGTCCAGAATGCCCAGACAGATTTGGCCATTTGGCATACAGATGGCACTTCTGCTAAAGTGTGGTGTAATTGGTGCAAAACCATGGCACTGTGTGGCCTACCAGCCAGGGGTACCACATTTTCTGGACAAAGGGCAGTGTGTTTTGGCTCAGTGGTGGGCTGTGAAGAAAACTGTGGTCCATAATGATGCAGCCATATGTTGTGTAACTCCTATACAGCCTGCATGTCTTTGTGCCTGTAGCTGGAGGGTCACACGTCTTTGTGTGCAGTGTGTTATGGTGTGACACTGCCATTATGGATGAGTGGTGACAGCCGGTGGAATGGCCACAGACAGAGGGCTTGTACTTGTTGTGTTAACACTGGCGGGACACAATAATCTGCTACTTGTAAAGCAGGTATCGTCCTGACAAAACCATTATTGTTTTCACATGGTAATGAGCGCTGGGGAGGGACTGGGAAATAGATTTAGAGGAGGCTGGTCCAGGGCCATGGCTCGCCTGAAACAGGGTGTACGTTGGATGGGTGGGTAGGGGGTGTAGGGCAGAAAGGCGCAGGAGAGGGACATTAGGTTTGTTCTCTCGCATCACTGAGCACTGGAGAGTTGTCTTAAATCGCCACAATACAAATTAGCTGGACGAGAGAATGGAAGCCCCCAGAAGAGGAGGAAAGGCAGATGACAAGCATGAGCATTTAAGTCAAACACACAATAGCATTTGGTATACCCCCCCCCCCCTAAATCCACACACACATACACACGCCTTCATGCCCACATCTTCCTCTCTGTGCAGATCAGGGTGGATTAAAAAAGAAACCAGAGTGTTTTTTGGTGTCCTCTAATGATGCAAGCAAGGATGCAAGTCAATAGAGCAATTCATTAACAAATCAAAGTCCCAGGGGTATCTGGGCAGTATGGTGGTGTTTGTGCAAATCTATCCTTCCGAATAGAGACCCATATGCTGGGGGTCAGGGTGACACCCCTCTCCACTGTGTTTACCATTCAGCATACACACTCTGTCGTTAGGGTCAACCACTACCTAACGTGTCCACTGCACACACAACAGAATTTCCATATGGTCCATGAAAATAGATATGCCATTGGACTTCTCTTTCTTCCCACGCCCCAGACTTCAGTATCTTTTGCTACTGTGCATTTTGTGTGTATTCTCTTCAGCTTGTTGAAAGGCTTTTTGGGTCTGAATGGGCTGTGGTTTTCATCTCCTTAGAAATATAGCAAAACAGGACAGTAAAAGAGATGTAGTCCTGGTCACTTGTTTCTCCTTTTTGTGCAGAGCATACGAAAGCCTTAGATTTTACCTTTCTCCCAAGAAGAATTATTTTCTCCTTGTGGTCTAAAAACAAAATCCATAACCTTGGCCAGAACAGTTGGCCTACCATTCTTATACTGAACTGTGGTAGACTAAATTGCTGATGTTGCGAGCCTCTAAAAGAAATAGGACTGTTATCTTTAAGTTAATTATTCTTTGGTAAGCATGTATAACGGTAAATAATTAAACATTTAATGACGAGTCCATTTATATGATTAACTGGCTAGCTATTGTTGATTTTTCTTACTACCATTAAGTGAAGTGGCAAATTTTGTGTGGATTCAAAACATACATCCATTAACGATCACTTAATTAAATAACTCATTCTCCAGATTTTGAGAATTTGAGATTATTTTGGGATAATAATGAGACTGATTTGGATAATGAGGTTAATTATGGCACCTGTATTGAGTGTTCTCTGAAGTTTCTGTCTAGTACATCTAGGGCCATTAGGACTTTTGCTGTACTAGCAATGATATTTCATAAGAAGATGGAGCCAGTACCAATGCCCACTTGTGAGTGGGAAGCCTACTGAGACAGTAGTGACCTACTGAAGAGGATTCCAGCCTGAGGGCACTTCACATGACTCTTTCAAATCCACACAAATAAAGCCCTTTATGGCCTGAAAGTGGCCCCACAGAATGGGTGATACAGAGCCTGCTGAAAAGCCCAACACGATTGTCATGGATATTACACGATGCGAGCAACAACGGACTGAAGAGACAAGTGTTGATCAGGAACAAAACTCGAGCAGACTTTTCCATGAGGAGGGCCAGGGAATGTTGACAGGCCCGTGAATGGTCTGTTTAACCCTTTGAAAGTGAAAAGGGGCTCCCTGAAACAAACACATTCTGATAGACTTTGTACGCACTGGGACACAAAAAGTACACTAAGCTCCTGCAAGGGAACCAGACAGAGGGCAGGAGATGAAAATAAGATTGGAAAGGTGGGAATGTGTTTGTGCCAGAATCCATCAGCCTGACTCTTCTATTTTCTGGCTTCAACGCTTCTCTTTTGAGCTCAACAGAGAGATGATTTAAGCCTTCACTGGGCTCCAGCATCCATTTTGACTGAGTCCATTTACAGTTTTAAAAAGACTGTTTGTTCACAAGACTATGCTGTGGTTTGATGGAGAATGTCAAACCTAACATGAATGATATCCCACTGTCATCAACAGTCATTCATCCAGTTGCCATAAAACTTTATTTCTCTATCAACACCCAGGGGTAAAGCTAAACACAGAATGTATTATCTGATGTCTGTAAGAAAGAAACACACAAACCTTGCTAAAAAGAAAGGTCTTTCTGGTAGGAGATGACATGACAGTTGAGATTGTAGCACTTTAAAAATGAAAACATAAATTTTAATGTCACTTCAAAGAGAAAATCACTGAAAATAAAATGCTTTTCTACATAATTAGACTTAAACTTAGACCTAATACCTTCCAATCTTGTTGATTTAAAATTGGGACATTTGACAGTTATGTGGTTGTTCGCTGCATAAATGCTAATTGATTGGCAGGTGAATGAAGCAAGGATTTGGCAGGGACAACAAAACCAGGTTAGGGATATTGAATTCATGTTGATTCAGTATCCCTGCCAGTAATGGCATCATCTGTGTTTCTCCACTAAGTCAAGTATAGCTAACTAGCATATTTGCTAATACAGAAATCAAAAATGATACTGTCTGTAACTGAAGCAACTGACATAAAATTCCACTAGATCTCTATAGCAATCCAAGTATTGCAGTAATATAAATAAATCATTGTTCAGTAATAATACTGTATATGCTGCATAAATCAATCCACACCTGATGTTTTCTCTTCTAAAGTTTGTATGGTGTTGTCGCCACTGTTTATATCCACTTATTTTTGCAAATTTATGGGGAGCTGGTGCTTTTCTCCAGAGCTCACTGGGCGAGAGGCGGTCACCAGTCCATCACAGGATGGTGTGACGTGTTGTACATTGAAAGGTGTTGAGATACCAATAAGATCTGAAGTCTCTTTTGATCAGATTGGACACTCCCAGTATTGGGAACATAGAGTTGAAAATAACAAAAAATGCTTTGTGGCAAACCTTTTTCTTTAATAGTTGAATCTTGGTTGGTGAATGGGCATTTGGAATGTTACAGTAGCCTGTATTACATATGGTTTTCTTGGAAAGTTTAGTTTCAGCTAATTTCACACCTTCCTGATGCTCTGCGTAAGAAGAAGTCC